CCGCTGCCGCCGCCGCCACAGCCGCCGGCGCCGCCACAGCAGCAGCAGCAGCCGCCGCCGCAGCCACAGCAGCCGCCGGAGGGGGGCGCGGCGCGGGCCGGCGGCCCGGCGCGGCCCGTGAGCCTGCGGGAAGTCGTGCGCTACCTCGGGGGCAGCGGCGGCGCCGGCGGCCGCCTAACCCGCGGCCGCGTGCAGGGGCTGCTAGAGGAGGAGGCGGCGGCGCGGGGCCGCCTGGAGCGCACCCGCCTCGGAGCGCTCGCGCTGCCCCGCGGGGACAGGCCCGGGCGGGCACCATCGGCTGCCAGCGCCCGCGCGTCGCGGAGCAAGGTGAGCGCGCCGCGGAGGGGGGCGCCGCGCGGTGGGCAGGTGCGGGCGAAGTTGGTAGCGGGGCGCGAATCCCGGTAGTAACCGGGCCGCAGGCGGCCGGGGCTTTGCGCTTCTTCCCGGCGGGCTCGGCGGGTGGTGACCTTGGCAAGTCACTTGATCTTCCCCAGCCTCAGTTGCCTCTGCTGTATAAACGCGACTTAATAACAGTAGCGACTCCTTGGGGTTGTTGAGCGAGTTTAATGAGATTTGGCTACTGAGGGCTTTATTAACACAGAGCCTGGCATGGAGTGAATGTGTAAAAGTTAGTCCGTGTTGATATTAAAGGTGGTAGTGAGGCACACCACTTGGTCCTGGATCCCAGGGATTGGGCCCAGGGCCAGAACAGCTACTAACCTTGCGTGCCTGTCTCCCTTGCACCAGAGAGGTGGAGAAGAGCGAGTGCTTGAGAAGGAAGAGGAGGATGAAGATGATGAAGATGAAGATGATGAAGACGAAGTGTCTGAGGGCTCCGAGGTGCCCGAGGGTGACCGTCCTGCAGGTGCCCAGCACCAGCAGCTTAATGGCGAGCGGGGCCCTCAGAGTGCCAAGGAGAGGATCAAGGAGTGGACACCCTGTGGACCCCACCAGGGCCAGGATGAAGGGCGGGGGCCAGCACCAGGCAGTGGTACCCGACAGGTGTTCTCCATGGCCGCCATGAATAAGGAAGGGGGATCAGGTAAGGACCCCGCTGGGTGGGGGAGGGTGCCTGGTGGGAAGGAACCGAGCCCCAAGACAAAACCACAGGCATATGCTTTTTATTTCCCAGCCTCTGCTGCCACTGGGCCAGACTCCCCATCCCCCGTGCCTTTGCCCCCAGGAAAACCAGCCCTACCTGGGGCTGATGGGACCCCCTTTGGCTGTCCGTAAGTTGGGGTGTTTGAGACACAGGGGTGCCGCCCAGGTGTGTATCACAGAACCAGAGGAGCATCACTGCTCACTGGTTCCCTTTGTTCCAACACAGTTCTGGGCGCAAGGAGAAGCCGGCTGATCCTGTGGAGTGGACAGTGACAGATGTGGTAGAGTACTTCACCGAGGCCGGCTTCCCCGAGCAGGCAACAGCTTTCCAAGAGCAGGTGAGTTCCTGACCCTCAACTTAGCCCCAGCATTCCAGGGCCTTAGTGGGGGTGTGTGCTCTGACCCTGCTCGCTCGCTCGCTCTCTCTCTCTCTGTCTCTGTCTCTCTCTCTCTCTCTCTCTCTGTCCCACCCAGGAAATCGATGGCAAGTCTTTGCTGCTCATGCAGCGCACAGATGTGCTGACCGGCCTGTCCATCCGCCTCGGCCCAGCCCTGAAAATCTACGAGCACCACATCAAGGTGCTGCAGCAAGGCCACTTTGAGGATGACGACCCCGATGGCTTCCTAGGCTGAGCGCCAAGCCTCGCCCCTGCCCCAGCCCAGTCCCCACCTTACACAAGACCCCCAGAGTCCGGGAGCTGGTCGGGGACACCCTCAGCCCTCATCACAGATTCCAGTGAGGGGGCATGCCTACTCCTCTTTTCCCTGTGTCTCCCCAACACACACACCTCTGGCGCCCAGCACAGCCTGGACTCCCTGATAGAGGAGTGTCGGGTGGGACAGGGCCTACTTATTTCACCCCAGGAGGCCAACCCTCCCCCTCACCCAGTCTAGGACATTTTTGGAAAAGTAAAATGGGGGCTTCCCATCTTCCCTAGATCCTCTTCAGTTCAGCCAGATGTTTCCTATATAAATGTTTTATTCTGTCTGTTCATTTTGGTGGGTGGCCGTTCCCCCCTCCCCCACCACCCAGGCCCCTCCCCAGTCTGTCCCTGGCCTCCAGCCCCTGGGAGCAGCTGGGAGGGGGTCCCTGGAGCTTCCTTATCCCTCCCATTTCTTTCTGTTCATTGTCGCTCCAGCTGGCTGTATTGCTTTTTAATATTGCACCGAAGGTTTTTTAAATAAAATTTTAAAAAAAGAGAGAAGAAAAGCATGGCACAGCGTCCATTTTATGAATGTAGTCGGGGACGTGGAGATCCACACCAGCCTCCTGGGAGTCTTGGGTTAGGACAGAATTGTTTGAGGAGGGAGACAGGTAGTGAATGGGGCTGCCCCACAGCCAGCTAACTGCTCCAGGAGGACAGGAATATTTGCTGCTTCTGCCATCTCCCCATTCCCAGAACAGCGCTTGGGCACACAGTAGGTACTCAAATATTTGTTAAGTGACTAGCAGTTAACTCTAGGCTTTACGGGCATTCTCTGGGTCTCACCACAGCCCCATGAGGCAGGGCTCGTGAAAAATCCACTTTACAGATGTGGCAACTGGCTCATCACAGCAAAGATGTTTGCTCGGGGTCACGCAGGGTGCAGCCTGACACCTGTCTGAGTTCTTTACCCAGAGTCTTTAAGTATAATTAATATGTTTGGCTTCATAGCTCTATTATCTGACAACCTTTGCATGTTACAAAGAATCCAGCCTACAACTGTTGCGGGCAGGGGTCTGTTTTGGGCCCATGGTAGGGTCTCCAGGCCTCCTGGCCCTCTCCATAAAAGGGGCGGAAAGGACTGGGCCATCAGATGAGGTCATGGGATGGGAAAATTTTTCCAAGTGAAAATTTTTATTATTGTTAGTAACAACCACTACATCACAAGTGCTGCTAAGTTCTAATGCAGTTTCTCAACTCCATTAGTTTTTTAAAAAAATATACAGATTCCGTGTCCTGGGAGTCAGAGACTCAGCGAGTGGGGCGGGGCCGTCCTCGTTTTCTATACCTGCAACCCCGGGGTTTGGACGCTCGGTAGAGACCCCTCCTCCCTAGGAAATCGCCTCAGAGAGTCAAATGCGCTGGCCCCAGGTCGCACCCCCAGGACACTGCCGCGCCAGCAGCGGCCCAGGTCGCCTCCCCCGGCGCGTACCCCACGGCCAGGTTCCGGGAGCGCGCGTGTGCGCGAGGCGCCGCGGCCGGGCCGCGCAGCGCGAGCCGGAACGGCTCGCCCCTCCTGCGTGTTGAAATTCAAATGAACTGAACTCCCTCCACGCAGCGCCGGCAGAGAGGTCGAGGCCCGGGTGAGATGGAGGGGGACGCGCTGCCAGCCAAGTCCGAGGTACCCTGGGCGGGGTCGAACCTGCGGCCAATGTGAGCAGCGGAGGCTTAAAGAGCTCTGGTCCCCGCCTCCCGCCGCACGATGGCAACCAGGCAGTGGTTCTTGGGGCCGCTCCCCGCGGGCCCTGGGGAAACGCCGCTCCCGGACGACTTGGAACCTGGGGTACAGCCCTGCGAAGACCCCTCATGGTCGCCTCCCACTGGCCGACCTGGGGACTCACCCCAGGCGGAGCCCGAGGATATTCAGGGGCAGCTGCCCGAGGCCTCCACCTCTACGCCTTTCCCTGAGCTTCTGGCCCCAGGCCCCGGGCCCGCCCCTCCTCGCCTACCCTTGGACACCATGTTCAGCCCCATCAGCGAACAGCTCCGTTACCTGCTCAAGAAGGCAGATGATTTCCAGAGCTACTTGTTCTACAGGTGATGTTGGATGGGGTCCTAGGTTCTACCCATGGATAAGGAGACGGAGAAGGGAATAACAAAATAGGTGACAGACACTAGATTTGCAAACTCAAAAGCATTAGGAGCCAGAGGAGGTAAATGAAGCTAGCTGAGCAGCAATCCAATTTCGAAGAGTTATGAGAACTGTGCAGAAATTTGGGGTTAGGGAGTGCGGGCTATTATGTGGGCCCTTGGGGTTGCCAAATCGCTAGAACTCTTCTCCCACTTTGTAACCGTTGGCTTAGGTTTTGAACCCTGGGCAGGCTACACAAAACCTATCTGAGCAAGATTTGGCCTACTGGCTACCAGTTTGAGGCCTCAAAGGATAATATGATTCCCAGACCAAGGGAAAGGGGACTGTGATTCTCATATATCAATGTCCATGGGAATCCCCTGGGAGGTTGTTTAAACCCTAGATTTCTGGGCTTCACCCAGGGAATAGTAAGTCAAAGTCAGTCTTGGGACTCGGGTGTCTGCATTTAACAAGTGTTTCAAATGTTTTTGATGCTGGTGGTCCTGGAAGATGCTCTGAGAAAGGCCTGACACTGGGGGATTTGGTTTGTAGTGGGGGTCCAGGTCAGGGATACAGGTGGGCAGTGAGTGGAATGGGAGAAATTGGTGGGGGAGCCAGGGACCTCAGGCAAAGGCCCCCTTCTCCCTTCAGCAGGGACCGAGTGCAGAAGGAACAGCTGGCGAAGGCCATGCCCACCTTCTTGCAGATGTGTGAGCCCTACTTCCTGTACCTGGAGGCAGCTGCACGGAGTGTGCCCCCCATCTTTGGAGCCCTGCAGGAGCTGATCCGAAAGGGGGTGTGTGGAGCAGGTTTCCCAGACCCTATGCCCCTTTCTTCATCCCTCAGGCCTGGGGGATGGGGAGGACGCTCATGGCAGGCCAGCTAATCACATTATGCCCCCTCTTCCATGCAGCTGTTGGAGATCTCCCAACAGCTGACTCTGCGCCTGGAACAGCTGGTCCTTATGTATGCATCATTTGGGTTTGTGAACCTGGAGGAGACTGACCCCCTAAGGTAAAAGGTTAGGAGATTGGGATTGGGGTCAGGGGTGGAGGAGTCCAGGGCATACCCTCATTCCCCAATCTCCCATCTCCTGCCAGCATCTCCTGTTTCTTCTGCGGGAGGTTCTCCATCAGTCCTTCCCACGAGGTGTCCATCTTTAGATACTGTGCCCCTGCTGCCTACACCGCCAGCCGCTTGCCCCGATACCTCTATAAGAAGATGCGCTGGAACCTGGAAACCACCCCAGAGTCCAGCAGCCAGGGGCAAGATTCCCGTGTGGATTAGTGAGTCCCCTTATCAGAATCAAAGTCCTCCCCTCTCTATGGAGAATGCCAGTTTGGGCCACTGAACCACCACCATCAAAGCATGGAAAGCCAAGCAGGAAATCAAGGACCTTTGAAAGGTCATCCCGACCTTTAAAAATATATATATGCCCCTATCAAAATAAAAGCCCTCATCTTAAAAGTAGGCTGACAGTGAGAAAAAGCCTCAGTATTGAATCATATCCCTACCTGAGAACTTGAAGGCAACTTCTGATGAGTTTCTACCTTACCTCCAAAATTAAAACCCTTCAACAGAAGTTAGGAAACTGCTCACATTTAATTGCTGCCCCTTCCCCTCCCAGCTACTTCCTGTGCTATAGAGATACATGGGAAGACACAGGCAAGAGTCCAACCAACTCATGCCCCCAGATTCAGAAACTGTGGTCCATCGGCCGATGGGTGCCCCTAGGACCAGCTGAGGATGACCTTTCTTCATGGTAGGAGCTAGGGCTATGGCAAGGTGGGCGTGGGGTCTGGAGGGAGGGGCAGAACCCAAACAAACACCATCTACCTCCCCCAACACTGTTTCCATTGGTAATAATGATAGCATTTTATTGTGCCCTGAAAAGCGCTTTATGCAGACTCATGTAACAACCCACTGAGGTCTATACTACTAGCCCCACTTTACAAAGAAGGAAATAGGTGCTCAGAGAGAATAAATTACCTGCCCAAGGACACACAGCTAGCTGAGTAATTGGCCAGGTCAGGGCCAGAGTTGTTCAGCCTCCCAGAGCCGTTACCCTCTATGTTTCTCATCAACAAGAAAATCACTTTCCCCCAGGGTTTTTCCCACCCCTAGCTGAAACAAAGCCTCTCTCAGCCACAGCCTCTCACTCAAGGGGAGGGGCTCCCGAGTAGCAGGGGGCGCTCACATCCAGGCCTGTCTCTCCCCGGCCCCCAGGATTTTGTCCCCGCAGCCTTCCGGGGACTACGAGCAGCTGCTGACCATCGGCTTCGAGGAGCCGTCGCACATGCTGGCCACCGACCTGCTGGTGCAGATCCTCACGGGCCAGGCAGGCACGGCCCGGCCCCCGAGCGCCGCCGGGCCCGCGGCGTGGGCCGCGCAGGAGTCTTGAACCTGGAGAGAGGGTGGGAGCTGGAGCTTGACAGTTCCAAACTCCAGGAGAGGGAGTAGTGGAGGGGCTCACTCGTTCTCCTAGTGCAGCTCCGCCTCGCCTTCCAAGGGGCCAGGCCGAGCTAGCCCGTCCGCACTGGGTCCGGCCCGGCCGCGGGGCCCTGCGGGTGGACACACCGGTTTTATGTTAAATAAAAGAAAGAAAGAGGTCACAGGCTCAGCGTCCGCTCGGATCGCCGCTCCCCTCCCCTTGGGGAGAGGGGGCCCCGCCCACTCGCGCGACCTTCTGGGAAATGTAGTCTCTGGAAACAAAACCATAGTCCACGACGGGAGGACGGAAGCTCAGAGCATGCGCAGAGGCGCGCATGAAGCAAAAAGGGAAGTAGCTGCTCCTGTCAACAACCGGAACCCAGAAAACCTCAAGTTTTGGGTAGCCGGGAAATTCAACGCCCACTGTGGGAAGGGACGCAGAGCCACGCCCACTCTTATGTTTTGACCCGGAAATTATTTCCCTGTACCGAAAAAGACTATATTTCCCAACGTGCCCCGGGAAAGGGCCAGCCATCAGTTTCCTAAGAGCCGAGGTTAGATCTTTTCTTCCAGCTTTTCGGTCTTGTCTTGTGCAGGTCGCCGTACCCCCTGGAGTGTCCGGGGCGCGGGCTGGGCGGGAGAGCCTGGAGGCAATCCAACTTAGGGTCGCTAAGCCTCATCCCAACCTTGGACCGGAGAGAAGACACGGGTTGAGAGGTGAACTCGCCTGCCGAGAGCTACGGCGACCAAGTGGCGGAGCCTGGACCTGAGCTGGGTTCTTCTGATAGCAACTGGTCACTTGTGAGGGGAGGGGTGTCCTTGCTGACCCGGCTGTCACTCAGCTGCGAGCAACCCCCCGCTTTAAACTAAGGGACACCTTTTGGTTCCCCCTAGCATTTTCAGAGTGGGAGGAGAGACTTGGAGCCCTGCTTCGTGGAGCAAAACACTCGCTTACCTAATAGTCCCTGGTACATAGTATTATCATAAGTATTATGATTATCCCAGTTTACAAGTGACAAAAAAGAACGTGAGAGGTGAAGTAAATCAGGACTGGACCAAAAGCCTTGTTCACTCGGGGTGGGATTGGAGGCTTCTGGTGACAGTTTCTGACTGCATCAAGGATTTTTTAGTCCACAACCCAGGTCTGAACGGGTCCAAAGGGGTTCTGAAGTTCCCTGACACGGATTTGAGGCCCCCCTCCACTGTTTAGACTAGCCCAGTCCAATAGAAATTTAAAATGAGCCACAAATGCGAGTCACATATGTAATTTCAAATTTTCTAGTAGCCACATTAGAAAAATAAAGAGGTCATAAGTTTAGTGATATTTTTATTTAACTTCATATATCCAAGATATTATTCCAACATATAATCAATGTAAGAAATTATTAATGAGATAGCCCTCTTTTTTTGTCCTAGGTTTTAAAAATCTTTTGTGTATTTTACACTTACAGAACATCTCAATTTGGACTAGCGACATGCAGATTTAATCTATCTCCCTTAAGACAAATCCACAAGCCACTTAAAACTAGATTTCTGGTGGGTGGTGACAACACAGAGAGGAAGGAAACAGGCTTAATTTCTTGGGTCCTGTCTACACCCATGATTCTCTAACTTCAGAGTCATGTGGAGGGTTTGGTCATTAAGTCTGGGATGGAGCCCAAGAATGTGTGTTTCTTACAAGTTCCCAAGTGATGCTGACGTTGCTCGTCCAGATGCCACACTTTGAGAAATGCTAGCCTACATCGACCTCATGGCTCTCAAACTTGGCTCCATGTTAGAAGCACCTGGGGAGCTTTACTGATGCCAAGGCCTCTATCAGATTCTGATTTATTTGGCATAAGGGTGCCTCAGGTGATTTTAATATGCAAGAAAGTTAGAGAACCCAGGCCTACACTTAAGCAGTTCTGTTAACCCTACATACTTAATTCTTAGCTCCCCTGCTGGGGGGATTAAGAACAGGTTCTTGGCGTTTCCATTTTCCACTTTGGCAGTGCTGGCTCTTTCCTGCTTTTCTCTCTGTACCTCCCAGAGTCATGGTCAACCATGTGGTCAGTGTGCTGATGATGGGGTCAGGGGTGGGTCCTTGGGCTGAGCTACTGTTGGGGTGCAGTGCTGTGTGAGCTAGACCCAGGGCATACAGAATTGGACAAATCCAGGAGTTTAAACAATGATTCTAAAAGTCTTTTCTTGGTCTCAGCGCACCTCTAAGAAGCTGATACACTAACACTGCAGAATATACTGCACAGATGCAGTCTTACAGCTTATCTTGAATCCCATCCAGGGGAGCCTTGGACCCCTTGTCTTGGGACAGAGGGAAATTAAGGAGGGCTTGCCAATTGACAGCCATAAGCCCGACTGCAAACAGGTGTTGCTTGCTGTCCCCTCCTGCCCCCCACCAATTAAAGTTTTCTAAATAGTCACAATTAAAGTTTGGTAGATTTCTCTTTTAAAGCCTGGACTTCCAGTTGCTTTGGGGGTTTTTTGTTTGTTTGTTTTTTATTTTTTTGGCTGCACCATGGGGCTTGTGGGATCTTGGTTCCCAGACCAGGGATTGAACGCAGGCCTTGGGCAGTGAAAGCACAGAATCTTAACCACTGGACCACCAGGGAATTCCCTCCAGTTGCTTTTGGAAAGCAGAAGCTTGACACCACTAAGCTCACTCACTCATAGCACTGGTGATATGGAAGAACACCTACCTGCCTGTTGAAATGAGGCATTTGTTTTACAGCACACCCTGTCTCTCTCTTAATATCTGCCTAAGGTCTGTAGGCATGTGAGGTTTGCAATTGCTAGGCAGATTATAAATGGCCTTGCATGCCCTACTAAGGAGCTTGAACCAATACCACTCCCTTTTTTTTGTAGCCATTGTTTATGTCCCCAAGGGCGGGAACAACCTCTTATCACCTCTGTCTAGCCAGCACCCTGCGCGGGGCATGTGGTTTGGCACCAATAAATGTTGACGAAATCTGGAAAGGGTGGGCATGAGTTCGTTTGTCCCAACGCCGCAGTTCGCGCCCGCGTCGCCAGGGGGCACTAGGGCCCCGGCCGGGCAGGGGGAGATATGCGGCCCTGGAACAGGGAGATAGGGGACATTCTGCATTCCGGCCGGCGCCTCCGGCGACTTTCTCAAGCCTTGCTCCTCTCGCCGCGCTCCCGCCCCACCCCACCGCAGACGAAGAGGACCCAGAAAAAAGCAGCCCTGCACTGCCCAGAAAGAAGGGGCTTTATTGGGGAGTGGGGACAGCCGAGGAGGTGACCCCTATCTAACAGTCAAGGCCGGAAGGAGAGGCTAGCTCCGTTTGCAGTTAGGTGGAGAAGGGCGGGGCAGTTTTACTGGCGGGGTTGTGATAGTGGTGTTTCCCCATTGGGACTAACAGTTTTATAGAAGATTCTGGTCAATTTCACAAAGTCAGGTTCGAGGAGGGGCTGATCGATTGCGTCCTTCCTGGCTCAGACCTGTAGCCCCTCTCTAGGTCTTCCGCCGATCCGGAGGGCACTCCTGGGCGCCCCTGCCTGGGTCCTCTGACGGGCATGTTACCTTCGTCCGGGGACCCCAGCCGGCTCGAACCTCAAGGCTTCGGCTCCTCCTGGAGAGAGGGGCCAGACCGAAGGCATGCCTCGGGGGCCCGCGCACCGCGAGTGGGGACACCCAGGCCCCGGGTGGGGCAGTTTGGGCCCCAGGACCACCGCCTTCTCGACACCCCTGGGCCACGTCCGGGACTTTGGGTCCTAGCGCAGAGTGACTTCCCAGAGGGTCCTTTCCCCAGCCCAGCGTTCTCGCACGCAGAGGGTTGGGGTGAGGGGCAGCGACAAACGCCTGAGGCAGGAGGGGAAAGGGGTTCCCACCTGCTCCAGACCGTTCTCCGAAGCCTTTCTGCGGGGAGGCCAGATCACCGCCAGCTTTCCGTCGCCCCTGCTCGCTGCGGGGGAAGGGGCGCTCAGCCGAGATTGCCCCTCCTCTCACCAGCTGGAGGCGGCCAGGACGAAGGAGAGCGGCCGCGCCCCTTAAACACACACAGGCGTTCACCCCCCTCCTCCCCATGGAGGCCTCCATCATGAGGGAGGAGGGAGGAACCCGAGGGGGGAGAGAGGCAAACAAACCCAGGGTGGGGAGGTAGGAACCCGAAAATTAAGAGGGAGGATCCAGGTGTGCCTGAACCCAGGGAGGGTTCCCTGGAACCCGACAAAGACATGTGGGATCCTCCTCCCTTCCCCCACCACGAGCCTAGGGGTCTGGATCTGGGAGTCCGACGGGGTCCGGGGGTGTGGAGCATAGGGATGGTCAGCCCAGAAGAGGTGAGTTGAGAGGGGCCCGAGGAGTCTGGGAGCCAGGAAGGGGGACCCTGAGGATCAGAGGGCCACTGGAGCTGGGCAGTCGGTGAGAGCGGCTGGAGCCCTGGGAATTCCCAGCGTAGGGGCGCCAGTGGCTTACCAGTTAGGCTGGGCGCGGGCTCCTTGAACTCGGCGGTGCCGTAGACGCTGAGGCGCTGGCGCTGCAGTTCCCGCTCGCGCTCATTCACCTCGCGCACCTCCTGCTCCAGCAGCGATGGTGCGATGGGCGGCGGGGCGCGGGCCAGCACCGGGCACCGGCTCTGCACGACTGAACGTGGCCGACCTCCGGGCTCAGGCAGCCGCTGCGGGTCCGCGCTGCCCTCCGCCGCCAGCGAGGAGCCGCACCCGCCGGCAGCCTCGAAGAAGCGCTTGAGCTCGCCCAGCGGCTGAGGCGGCTGCCGGGCGCGCTGCTTTGGGATCTCGGGGTGCGCTAGCGCCGCCTGCCGATGGGCCTCCCGCTCGATGTCTCGCTGCATCTGCGCGCCCGCCCGAGCGCGCTCCAAGGCGCGCGGGAGCGCGGAGCCGGGGCCCGGCAGGCTGAGCACCGGCCGCACACGCAGTTCGACGAGTTCGCGGCCCGCGCGACCTGGGCTCAGGCCCCGGCTCCGGCGCAGGCTCTCCTCGCGTTCGCAGCTGCGGCGGATTTCGCGCTCGATGGGCGTCTCCATGAGCGGCTGCTCTGGGGGCTGTTGTGGGGTCTCGGATCGCAGTAGAAAACGCAGCTGGGGGGATTCCGAGTTTGACTCAGAGGAGGTTTCCGGACCTTGAGAGGGACACTGCTCCAGGAGCCCCGCGCCTCGCGCTTCACACGGTTCAGCGTCGTCGCTGCCTCGCCCAGGACTCTCAAAGTCCTCAGCTGCGGTCGGTCCAGGGCGCTCTGCCTCCTGCCCCGCTGATGGCCCGAGGACTTCGCTCTCTTGCTCGGGGGTCTCCGCGCCCTGGTCTGGGGAGGGCACGGGGACCTCGCCTCCTGGCCTGGGGACCTCGGTATCCTGCTCTGCGGCAGGCCCGGGAATTTCTCTGTCTAACCCGGGGGGCTCAGGGCCCCGCTCTTCGGACGACCCCAGGGCTTCGCTCTCCGGCCCGGGGGCCTCGGTGTCCAGGTTTGGGAGCAGCTGGGAAGCCGTAGCTCCCAGCGCTGGAGTTTTGATGCCCAGAGCTGGGACACACCGCCCTGCGCGGCACCTGTAGCTGCAGTCGCCGTCCGCGGGTTCCAAGGCGTAGCCTGCACCGGCCGCTTCTCTGACCCGCCCCTGGCCTCCAAGAACTGTCCCCGGGGGCAGGGCCGGGCAACGCCCCCTGCACCTGCAGGCAGGACTCCGGGCTCCGCCCTGGCCCCGCCCTCGAGACGGGGGCGCCTCAGCTGGGCGCTGGATTTCTTCCACTAGCACGCCTCAAGTCAGCTCAGGGCATTGGCCCGTTTAAAAGAGGACTTCCCTAGACCTAGCCCGCTACCTGGGACGCCAGTCTGGGTGCAGTGTTCACTCAGGGGGCGCCACCCTAGAACGTTTTCGGCCTCACGTCCCCGGCATTGCCAGGAGGCTTGGCCCTAGCTGCACGCCTGGCTGGGCCTCTGAACGCTGTCCTCTGGTGGGGTGTCCCCCGAAGCCATCTTTCCGGGGCCTTGCCTGTCCCGCGCAGCAGCAACGCGCACGGCGTCTGGGCTGTCCTTCCACCTTCCACCCCTGCAGCGCACAGCTCGGGCTGGAGGGGGCGCCAGGAACCGCCTCACCGCCCGCCCCAGTCTCCCTCCCAGTGCCTGGGTTCAGCAAGGTTCCGAGCGGTGAGCCAGCGCCCGCGCCAAGCCCAGAGGGCCCTTCCCCTCACCCTCTCCAGGAAAAGTACGCGAGGCGTCCACCGCCAAGTGCACTCCCAGATTGAGGGACGAGGGAGGGACGCACACACAGAACGCCCAGGGCTCAGCAGAGCGGCTGAGGTTTGAAAGGCGGTCACCTTGGACCCAGGCGACTGGGAAGGCTCAGAGAGGTATCAAGGCTTGCGGGAGGAAGTAGCTCCCTGCAGCTGGGGCCAGATTGTGACGTTCAAGGCCAGGATCGATGCCGGGAGCAGGCGACCTACCCCCAGGGACATTTTCCACTCTCTTCCCCTGGGCTCTCTCCAAAACCTGCCTCCACCCCCCACCATTTTGGGGTGACCAGTAAGAAAGATATAGTTACCTAAAGAAAGTGGGGGGGCTACACAGCCTCAGGAGCCCCAATAATCCCCCAACTCTCTGCCTACCCTGGTGACTCCCCTTTCTGTCCACCCTCCCACTCTACTCTCTCCTTGATCCCAATCTCAAGCTGCTACCCTCCTCCCTCTGACCATCTGACCTCCTTCCTTCCTCTGACTCTATTGACCCAATTGGAATCAGGCCCACCTGATTCCCGCCCACTCAGAACCTAAGTGTCAGCCTTCTCCAAGGCTCAGTTTCCTTGTCTGTAAAATGGGGATAATAGTGCTTACTCCCTCGGGAGGTGATGAGGATGAAAACTGTACTTCTGGAATGAGTTGTCTCTACAGTGGACTCTTTATCACCTCCTGTCCCTCTTCTAGCCATGCTTACTGGGCTCTTGGTTCCACCACGCCACTGAACCTTCTCTGTCCAAGGACCTCCGTGACCTCCATTTGCCAGACCTGATCACTGACTCCTCCCTGATTCCCTCTCCATTAGCTCCTTGGTCTTGGAGGACACCATCCTCTCCTGATTTCCCTCCTACCTTCCAGGCACCCCTTCTCAGACTTCTGGTTCACCTGCATCAATGGGCTTCCTTCCCCTCTGGCTTCCATTGGGTTTGGCTGATGGGAGAGAGGTGAGTGAGGTCAGGATGTTTATCCCATGCCCCCTTCCTCCAAGCTTTGTTGGCTGTGTCCCTCCACAGCAGGCAGCAGCTCCACATAGCTCTCTCCCTCCAGGTCCATGGGGTGGTAACAGCTCCTGGCTGTGGCGAATCCAGGGTATGCACTATGCCTTGATTATTTCCTTCTACTGAGTTCTCATCAATTACTTGGTTTAAGTATACAGTCTCTTTCCTGCCAACACTCAGACCTTGACAAACTCCAATCTCGTGCTTTAAATACCATCTCTATGCTGATGTCTCCCAAATTTATGTCTCTAGCTCTGACTTCTCCCCTGGGTTTTGGACTCATATCCAACAGTCCCTAGTCTAATAGATATGCCAAAATGAACACTTTAGAAACTGAACTCTTGGTTTCCCCCAACTCTATTCCTCTCTACTATGTATAGCAACTCACTCATTCTGTTTTTCATGCCCAAAATGTAGAAGTCAGCCTCAATTTCTCTTTTTCCCTCAGCCCCTGCCCCAATCCGTTCATATATTGGATTGCTGTTTGCTCTGCCTCCAAAATATATTCTGAATTCGTCCACTTCTCGCCACCCTTGTCCCAGACATTCACTGTCCTCCAGTGACTCCCCACCAAACTTAGAAGAAAAATCCAAATTCCCTACCCTGGCTCAGAAGGCCCTTCCCACTTCTCAGATCTCATCTCCTGACATCTCCCTTGATCACTCCTCCATCCCAGCCTTCATGCTTTCCTCAAACCCACCAGCTGCATTCCCACCCCCAGGGCCTTTGCACTTGCCTTTCCCTCTGCTTGGAATGACTCATCACATGGTTGGCTTCTGCTATTCAGGTCTTGGTTCTTCAGAGAAGCGGTCTCTGATCACCCAGCCTACATCAAACACAGCTCTTCTTTAACCCTATCCCTGTTATTTTCTGTAACTCACCCAATACTGCAGTTATCATCAATTACCTTTATTTCTTCCTTTATTTGTATATTATCTGTCTCCCCCAACCCCAGGCTGCAAAGTGAGCTGCATTACAGCATTTTCTGTTTGTTATGCTCACCCAACTCCCCCACGCCTAAAACAGTACCTGACACCTAACACTTGTTTAAGAATGTTCCCAATGCTGGGAACAAAGAGATAAACCAGACTTGGAAGTTGCAGTTGAGCTTGGGAGACAGACACAATTATAAACAGAACAATCTTGCCTCAAGGTGGAACACACGACAAGGGTACAAAGGGAAGCCTATATATTATACATCCAAAGAGTTAACAGTTATTAAATCAAACTACAAGCAATGAAGTAAAAGATAGTCTCTCCTCCAAAAGGTGGAAACAACCTAAATGTCCATCAACAGATGAATGGATAAACAAAATGTGATCCATCCATACAATGGAATATTATTTAGCCATAAAAAGGAATGAAGTTCTGACACAGGTTACATTGTGGATGAACCTTGAAAACATTATGCTCAGTGAAAGAAGCCAGACACACAAGGCCACATACTGTATGATCCCATTGATAGAAAATGTCCAAAATAGGTAAATCTATAGAGACAGATGCAGATCGGCGGTTGCCAGGAGCTGGGGGTAGGGGGGAATGGGGAGTGACTGCTTAATGGGTACCGGATTTCCTTCTGGGGTGATGAAAAGGTTCTGGAACAAGACAGTGGCAAAAGTTGCACAACACTGCGAAGGTACTGAATGCCGCCAACTGTAAATTTTGTCGTGTGTATTTTACCGCAATTAAAAACTCATTTTTAAAAATATGTTCTCTCGGGGCTTCCCTGGTGGCGCAGTGGTTGAGAGTCCGCCTGCCGATGCAGGGGACACGGGTTCGTGCCCTGATCCCACATGCCTCGGAGCGGCTGCGCCCGTGAGCCATGGCCGCTGAGCCTGCGCGTCCGGAGCCTGTTGCTCTGCAACGGGAGAGGCCACAACAGGAGAGGGCCGCGTATCGCAAAAAAAAAAAAAAAAATATGTTCTCTCAGGGGAATTTCCTGATGGTCCAGTAGTTAGGACTCGGCCCTTTCACTGCCGAGGCTTGGGTTCAACTCCTGGTCGAGAAATAGATCCTGCAAGCCGTGTGGCGCTGCATATATATACATATATATATATATATATATATATATATATATATATACCTCCCTCTTCCTATCATGACAAATATACTTGTAGAATGACCTAGATGACCACGTTCAATTGAAAATATTTTGAATCCCTAGGAGTTGTGTACTTGAATGTAGGACACAGGAAAACCCCAGCCCTCAGTCTGGCCCCTTTTGCTTCCCACCCCAAACTGTCCTACACAGCGAGGAGCCTTGTGTACGCACCTAGGGAGCCCATCCCACGTGCCCATGCTCTTTCCTCACCCCTCTGCCCACAGCTGCCCTTGGCCACTTCTTGGACACCCTGTGTAGGATCTAGAGCAGGGAGGGACGATTTAGCTGGGTACATTCCCTTTGCCCCATGGGGAGCAGGCCCTCTAAAGCCAGGGGCCCAGGGGACTTCCCTGGTGGCCAAGTGGTTAAGACTCCACGCTTCCATGCAGGGGGTTCGATCCCTGGTCGGGGAACTAAGATCCTGCATGCAGTGCGGTGTGGCCACAAAAAATAAAAAATAAAAATAAATGAATTTAAAATTTTAAAAAATAAATAAGTAAAGCAAAGAGCCCAGGACAAGGGCTCTTCTCATTGAGGTTTATGTCGGAATTGCACAGTGTGACCAGGGCTGTGATAAGGGAAGCACTGGGGGCTGCAGGATACCAGCCTGGAGAGTAAAAATGATTTCCCCAAGAGAGTGGTTGGATGAAACATATAATCAGCTGAGAAAAGGGGTGCTGGCCCTTTAAGAATGGGATGTGGGGTAGAACAGGGACCCTCAAGATTTAGGTAGGAAGCTCTCTAGACCTTTCCCATCACCACACTCCCCCAATTGTTATCACATCTAAGGGGTGTCCAGGGTCCTGGAGGCTGTTTGATCTAATTCTCTTATTCTCCCAAAGGGGAAACCGAAGCCTAGAAACCTAGGGGAAGTTGCCCAGAGTTGTCTAGAGCCCAGACGTTCTGGTTCCCATGGGGCACAGGCTCTGGTCTCCAGAATCCTCTAGCTGGATCAGCCCTTCCTCCTCGCCCCAGAACCAGGGTCCAAGAAGGGAGGGCAGCTAGCCTGTAAAAGTATCCCTTGTGTGGTGTTCAACAGTACTCAAAGGTGGGTGACCCTTGGTGGGCGACTGGACTAGAAATGTCTAGGGTGGCAAGTGGAGGTACCATTGTCTGAGGGGGTCAGGGACTCCAAACGCCCGTCCACCCGCTAGACCACACATGTGAGAGTGTGTTTGCCAGGAGGCAGCTGAGTGCAGCAACGAGGCCACTGGCTGGTAAATAATTGATCAGGACAGCTGATAGTACCTCCCCAGAACTGCCCCGCCAGCCCCCGGCCCCCCTCTCCCCAGCCCATGCGTCTCCCGCCTCCTGGCCCAAACCAGCTGGACCAGCTCTCCCAGTGCCCGCCTGCAGCCCCCCCCCACTCCCGACAGCCAAGTCACAGCCTCCAGGGCACCTTT